GAGGCTGGCATTAGAGTTGTGAGCTGCCATCTGGGTGCTGGGAATCAAACCTTGGGTTCTTTATCAGAGCAGCCAGTGCTCTTACATGCTGAGCCATCTCTTTAATTCCCCTATAGCATCATTCTTTAAAGTAGCTCCAAAGACACAAGCCAAATATCTGTCACTAAGTAACAGATGGATTTGAAAACACATATCCATGAACTGATATTGAATAGCCAGGCATAAAAAGAGCGGAGTGCCTGTAGGTCCTGCAGCCTGAATGAACTGAGGAAATGTTGTGCTGAGGGCAAGATGGCTGACACAAAACATCTCAAATGTAATAACACACCCAGAGCAAATTTACAGCGACAGAAAAATGAGAAGTGGTTGCCAGGATTATGCTCGGTGGGAGATGGAAGCAGATGTGTCCCGAGTGTTTTAAGGTTCACGCAAATGCTCCAAAGAGAGCGTTGTAGACTGCATAGCCCTGGGAACATCTTAAGAGTCAATGAACTGCACTTTAAAAACGAACAATGCCAATGTAAGTGAATTGCAGAAACCAAGAGAGAAAAATGAAAAGAAAGAAGAGAGGGAGGGAAGACAGAAGAAAGGAAGAGAGGGGGAGGGGCTAGAGGAAGGGGGAGGGGAAGAGGGGGAAGGGGGAGGACAAGAGGGGGAAAGGGGTAGGGCAAGAGGGGGAAAGGGGTAGGGCAAGAGGGGGAAAGGGGGAGGGGAGGAGGGAAATGAAGGAGGGGGAGGGGGAAGTGGAGGGAGAGAGGGAAGGGGAGAGGGAGGGGGAGTGGGAGTGGGAGGGGGAGGGGGAGAGGGAGGGGAGAGGGAGGGGGAGACTTTATAGAAGAAGGCCTGGGTTTTATGAGTCAAGGTGACAGAGACTGATCCAGACAGACCCAGCTATGACATGGTCGCTGTCTTCCCTCTGCCACTCCAGTCTGAACAGACATAGCTGTGAAAAACCCAGGGATTATGTCCATGGGAAACCAGCATCTACAACCAGAAATGTGTGAGTTCGTCTGATGACATTAGATCAAGCAAACGGAAGGAAGGGAGTGTGTCGGCTAGTTTCTGTTCATTTGAAATGAGCTAGAGTCACCTGAGTGGCAGGATCTTCAACTGAGGAAACACCTCCATCAGACTGGCCCCTAGGCGAGGCTGTGGGGCATCGTCTTGACTGATGGTTGAGGCCAGGGAGCCCAGCTCACTGTGGCTGGGGCCATCTGTGGGCAGGTGGTCCTGGGTTGTAGAAGAAAGCAGGCTGAGTAAGACCTAAAGGGCAAGTCAGCCAGCAGCGCCCCTCCAAGGCCTCTGCTTCAGTTCCTGCCTCCAGGTTCCTGCCTTGGTGGACTGTAACCTGTAAGTCACATAAACCCTTACCTCTCCAAGTTGTTTTTGGTTAGTGCTTTATCACAGCAACAAAAGCCAAACTAAGGCAAAAGAGAATTTACCGAGTAAAAGTACTTACTGGCCTATGGAAGTTGCCCTCTAACCTCCATGAGAGTCCCAGGGTGAGGTGGGGGTGAGGGGGGGGGACACAGATTTCAAAACGAACTCAAAATAAAGAGGTTGAAAGGCCAAGGTATGCCTCTTGGCACCCGAGGGTTTGGAAAAGCACAAGAAGTGACTGTGTTGTTCTGTGTACAGCACGCACGGTGCACAGTTTGAGGTAGCCAGGCAGTAACACAATCCAGAGCATTAGTGAGTTATTCCAGCCCCACGAAGCCGTAGAAGAACAGCAACTGCCAACAGGTGTATGTCATGCCTCAGGGAGGAAACCGTCAAGCCTGAAGGAACCAGGGTGCGGAGGGAACAAACTCTCCACCCTGATGCCCAAGAGCCATGTGGGAACAGAAGAGCCATCAATCACAATCAGCAAAAGTATCCTCTAGCATGGCATTGCTTTCAACTCTAGAAAATGAAAACAAACAAACGCACACCGTCCTGAAAGATTTGTACAGGAAATAAACACATTCTCTCAGAGAGGCAGAAAGATAAGATGGCACCTGAGGGCCGGGAGAGGTAGCTCAGTGGTTAAAAGCAACTATTACTCTTGCAAAGGACCAGAGGTCAATCTCCATACTCACAACTGTCTGCAACACATAGAATTAAAAGTAACAAGATTAACCTTCTTCAGAAAGGAACCACACCCAGTGTTTCAGTCTTTATGCAAGAATAGATAGATAGATAGATAGATAGATAGATAGATAGATAGATAAGGCATTAGAAGCACCTGAGAAGTAGGCTAGAGAGATGGCTCAGCAGTTGAAAGCACTAGCTGCTCTTCTACAGAACCCAAGTAGGGTTCCCTGCACTCATGTCAAATAGCTCACAACTGCCAGTAATTCCAGATCCAGGGCATCCAATGTCTATACTCATCTGTGGGCATCTGCACTTATGTGCAGTTGCTACTGTGTGTGTGTGTTTGCATGTATGTATGTGTGTGTTTGTATGTGTATGCACTCACATGCTATGTACTCATCAGGGTATCCATAGGTACATGTCATATGTATTCAGTAGTGTGTGTGTGTGTGTAAGCCAGAGGTTGACGTCTGGTGTCTTTCCTTGATCTGTTTCCACATTTGTTTTTTTGAGACAGAGTCCCTCAGTGAGCCTGAAGCTTCTTGACTCAGCTAGACTGGCTGTGAGCTTCAGGGATCTGGATGTCTCCACTTTCCTCCGGATGCTGTGCCTGGTTTTTCCGCTTGAGGTTTGGGGACCTGGTCACAGGGCTTCATGTTTCTATGGCTGGTACTTTACATACAGAGCCATCTCCCCAGTGCTAAACAAGAGCATGATGGCCTCTAAGATGACATTCGACAAATTCTTGGAGGCAGTTTGGGTTATAACATCAGAGGAGTGCTGTTAATATCCAGTGAGTGGAAGCCAGCGGTGCTGAGGGATGGTTTGTAGTGTGAGGGTGGTTTGACCTTCACAGCAAAGTTACCTGGGTGGAGAACTCATCCAGGCTGAGGAGCCCTGACCATCTGCCCAAACCAAATCAGATGAGTTTAAAATGAAATGCCAGGCATTGCAGAACTTGTCTGTAGTCCTTGGGCTTTGCAGGAGGCCAGCTCAAGGCCAGACTGGGCACGTAGCAAGGGCCTGTCTCAAGAGAACATAAAAACAGAATGAAGATACGTCTCAGTAGAATACTTGCCTAATATCCGAGAGAGGTCCTAGGTCAATCTTCAATGCTAAAAATAAATAAAAAGCATTGGAGGAGTGAAAATTTTATAGGATATATTAAACCTCAGAGGGAATAACTTTCTACATTATTTAATAAATTTTGAGATCGTATGGTGAATGCCACACCTAGCGTTTTACATGCCTGAGCCCCCTCAATCCTCAGAGCATGTCCTCAAAGTGTTTTGATCGTTCCTACTTTTCTTTCTCTAGTTTGAAAGAGTATCAAACTTTTGGAAAAGTTGAAGACATAATGCAGAGAACCTTTTTGGAAGCGTTTGATAGTTACCAGAATAACAGCTCATAATCTCAAGTCTTTGGTGTCCCCCCCACAGACTAGAACAAGTCAACCATCAGCAGAAGAAAGTCACACGTTGTGATCCCGGGAGTCACTCAGTGCTGGTTGCACAAGGATGGTTTATGTAGAGATTTATGCACGACACTTACTTACCCTGTCTCCTTAGTCAGAGTTCATCTGACATTTTCCTCACAGTTGGTTTGAGCTTCATCTGAGGCAGGACCATCGCAGCAGCGGCGGAGACCCCACTGCATTCCCATGGCTTCAATTTGTCCTGTGATCTACCGACCATCATCCCATTACCTACCGATCATCATCCCATTACCGACTGACCATCACTGTCTTGTTCTTTCCTACTGGTGTAATTCACTATCCCAGGCTAGGTGATTCATAAAGAATCGAGGTTCTTCGGCTCATGGTTCCGGAGACTATAAACTTCAAAAGCATTGCACTGGCACATGCTTGACAGACTTGTTAGTGTGTTGAATCAACAGAAGTTGGGGAAGGCCCAAGTAAATCAGTGTTTTTGGGACATGCCAGGACTCCTCAATCACAAACTCACAGTGGCTGTGGTCACCTACACAAGAACAAGCCAGATAACATTCCATCATGGAGTGGAAAGGAGTTCACAAGCCCCCAGCCCTAATAGAAGAGCTATGGATGGTTTCTTTCAGGGTGGAGTCCCTGTGTTCCAGTGGATGGGCCCACATCCAGATGTGAGCAGCTCAAATTGGAGTTGAGGGGTTATGGGAAAAGAAAACGAGGACAGGAAATTAGGGATGGATTTGGGAGTAATTAAGTGGGTAAGTTGAGGCTCAATATAATCAAAATACATGCTATGAATGTTTCAAAGACCTAATGAAAGTATTTTTCAAACACATGACTGGGCATCACATGGTTAAGACAGAGCAAGCAAGCCAGCTCAGGCACGGCTTCCTTCCCTTAGAGAACTGTAGACTCCATTGCAGGGTCCATCACAGGCTCTATCATGGGGTCCATCACAGGCTCCATCACGGGCCTTATGCTTCCTCATCCTTTTACTGGACACTGGTTAAGTCCTTTCTTCAGCAAACTCCCATTCTATTCCAATTGAGTTTACGTAAATATGGACTCATGACTCGACCTCAATTTTATTTGATTTTCTCAGTCCTGGGGGCTAGACATAGAACCTTGTGATGCCTACATGGGTGTGTTCACTGGGTGAAAATTCAGTAAGGATTTGTGTGTGTATGTGTGAGTTACACAAGAAAAAAAGCACTTGTTCTAAAAAAATCATATTATAGAAAATAAATATTTGATTAAATGGCAAATGCTAAGATCAGTAGGTGTAATGTGATGACAATTTTATGAAAAACGTGTAAATTAATTAGATGTTGATGAAGGAGATGTGCATTTTGACAGAGAAAAAAGCCTGGATGGTTTCCTGAATGATCACCAGTGCTCAGCCCTGGGTAATGAATAACAGAGGGCCTCTATTTTTTCTTGTGCTTTCCTGCTTTTAAAATTTCCAAAACACAAACGTGTAAAGGTGTGACTGGCTTCACTGGGCAACGGAAAGGAAGGTGAGAGGACATCGTGAAGAGCTGACCTCAGGCCAGATGGTAGTGTGGACGGAGGGGGACGTGGTGCAAAACCAGGCAGGGCGCTGGGAGGCCAGGCAGGCATGGGTAGTCCCAGCTCCCCACCAGGAACGCTCTGCGCCCCTAGCAGGTCCTGTTGCAACACTGAGTCTCCTGCCAGCTTTGCAGCCTGATGCCCACAGCTGGCCTCATGAAGCGACAAGTTACTCTCCAGATGCTATTCCTCCTCGGCACGTTAGGCCTGCCAGTGTTGGCAAAATGGAAGGACAGATTTTTTTCTGAAATCCAAATTCCGGATTACAGTAGGTATTTTGCATGGGCTTCAAAGTGGGGACTGGGCAGAAAATGAATAATCCTAACCATTCTCTAGCCCCGTTTCAGGGAGGAAACAGGGGTGGGGTGGGGCACCCCAGAACATCCCTTGTTTTGAAAGCCAGGACGCTGGAAGGAAACCAAATGTTTAGATCTCAACCTGGAGGGTCTCCTGATGCCGCAAGTAAGATGTTATTTTTATGTCTGTCGGGGGGATTGTGGCAGCCACACTAGGTTTCTGTCTAGAACATTGATCTGTAGATAGTTCCAGATGGGTTAGAGGCTGCCTGGAAGGCGTCTAGCTCAAGCTGTTGGGAACTGATATTCTCAGTTATGAGCTCCAGAAACAGACCAAAAATTCACAAAGGGTTTCTGATCATTTCTTACTATGTGCCCTCACCATTTAAAGGGAGTTGGCTGTTTTAGAACCTTGGCCACAGTGAGAAAAATGAAGATGTGCACTTTGTATAAGTCCAGTAGTGATTTTTTTTTAAAAAAGAAATTCTACAGAGTGGAAGGGAGATGGGTAAAGATTGAAAGGAGAAACATTTCAAGAGAAAGCTGAGTTTCAGGGAGCTGTTCCAGCCAGAAGGAGAAGTGCAGGTGGAAGGCAGGCTCTTTCCTTTTTGTTTTTATGTAATGTGTATGGGTGTTTTGCCTCTATGAATGTCTGTGCACCACATGTGTGCAGTGCCCACAGAGGCCAGAAGAGGGTGTCAGATTTCCCACAACTGGAGTTAGAGACAGCTGTGGTCTATCACACTGGGGCCTGAGACTCTTAACTCTGATTTTCTGAAAAAGCCTCTGATTCTTTGTATTAAAAAGTTAACATATATTACTTGTACAAAACAGATTTTGACATGACATTTTCACATGGTAGATGATATACTTTAATCACATCCCCCCTCCCCAAGCTTTTCTCTGTCCTTCCTCCCGTAGGGTCTCTTCCCCCTAGTAAGACACTCTAACTTCCATCCTTCTACAATAACTAGGTTATGCATTGAGAGAAAACAGACATCACTGGTCTTTCTTAGTCATACTTCTGTTAACATGATGGTATCTGCCTCCATTAATTTCATCCTTTCTAGGAATTATATATATATAATTATATGTATATTATATATAATTATTATATATTAATAATAGATTATATATTAATATATCATTATATATGTATATATACAGTTTATTTATTCATTGATGGGCAGCCTAGGCTAATTCTATACATTGACTTGTGAATGTTGCTACCATGAACATGGGTATGCAGTATCTATTGTATGTTGTTCTGATTCCTGGGAGATATTCCCAAAGATAATATGGCGGGGTGTGTGGTTGTTCTATTAGTTTTGCAGAGTTTCCCTTTTGATTCCCTTAGTGGCTGAGTCAATCCCCCCAACCCTAACCCACTTTAAAGGCCCCTCCCCCTGCCTCGCCTTTCTAGGCAGTGTTTGGCTGGGGATGCATAACGTTTTTTCCCCATGCATTTATCAGTCATTCTTATTTCTGTTCAATAGCTTATTCGTCTTTGGAGTGTTTACTGTAGTGCAGGATGCGTTGAAACACGTAGAGCAGTGGTTCTCAACCTGTGGGTCTCGACCCCTTCAAAGACCCAAATAGCCCCTTCACAGGGACCACGTCTCAGATACTTATATTAAGGTTCATAGCAGTAGCAAAATCAGTTATGAAGTAGCGATAAAAATAATTATACGGCTGGGGCGGGAGATCACCACAACGTGAGGAACTGTATTAAAGGGTCATAGTGTTAGGAAGGTTGAGAGGCACTGATCTAGAGGAAACCGTGGGGAAGACACTTGAGGCTCCAGGCTTAGGAGGACTCCACTAGCTTGGGACATAAAGGAAAGAGTCAGCAGGGCCTCAAATTAGAAAGCTTTGGTATAGCAAAAGAGAAGAAAGAGACAGCCCAAAGGTTGGGAGGAAATCTGCAGAATACTTCTATGACAACGGATTAGTATCTAGAGTGTGTAATCATACAAAGAACCAAAAAGTCAACCGCCAGGAGGCAGGTGGTTTCCCTACCCTGGGACCCAATTCCTTCCACCCTGTAAAATAAAGTGAAAATAAAGGACTCTTCACTTTGAGAATTAGACTTAATTTTTTGAGTTTAAAGTAAATATGGATAAAGTTACAGTGCCTCCTGGGATTAAGGAAAGTATCGGGAGTGGTCCTTTCATCCAAGAACCAAACAGAAATCTCTAGACTGTTGGGCAGGGAGAGAAGGCAGAAAAAAGGGGTTCCTGCACACTGGAGCTGCTGGCAACAGTGAGAAATGCTCTTGGTTAGGGGAATTGCTGCTTATGTATTCCTTCTCAGTTTTAACAAGGCCCAAACTGCAGCCCTGCCTGGAGCGGCCAACCAGCACCCAGTGCAAAAGCTACTGCAGGGCGCACCTGGACTGTGAGGACCAGTTTCGCTGCTGCCACGCCTTCTGTGGCAATGTCTGCATGCGCCTGGAAGAGGCGGGTAGGTTCTGAAGCATGTCCCCCTTTGTCTAGGTTACAAAGACCTTGGAACCACACTGTGTGAAGAGAGACAGCCTGGCACCTGTGCCTCCCAGTTCCTACATCCAATCCAATCTGAGAAGCCCTGTTTCAACATCCTGGTTTCAGGCACCCGGTCTCCACTTGCAGGCCTACCTGATTTTGTCAAGCCCCAGAAAATCTGGCATCCATGTCTATGCCCAGTGGGTTATCGTCCCATAGGAGAAGCCATATATGGGCATCTCTTAAGCCATAAAACCCATTCGTGACCCAGGAGTTAGGGGATCAATTATGATCACCCCTACAGAAGTCTGTTTCTCTACATAGTGTGACTACTATCATCCTATCCCTTTCTCCTCTAGATGGCGAAAAGTCAAACCATAAAATCAGCAACTCGGTGCCCGTGGTTGTACCATAAATCATCCTCATTTCAAGCCACATGGAAAGTGTTGGAAGACCAACCTCCTGTTGGACCGCCCTCTTGGATCAGGTGTGGGTAGGGGTGAGGGTACCCAGACAATGTCTTCCCTGCCTACCTCCTTCCCCATAAGCTGTTTCTGGAACTGAGGCCCCCCCCTTTTGTCTATAGCTACAGGACTAGTGCTGCCTCAACTACTTTCTCTGACTCCACCCCTCCACCCAGTGCCCAGCCCCTACCTCCTGGTCTAGATTTTCCCTGCCTTCCCACTCTTCAGCAGCCTAGGCTCTTTCATCCAGACTCCTAGCCCTATTTATCTCTGCTTATTGCCATGACATAATGAAGAGAAAGCTGCTTATATAAGGTGGGGGAAGTGTTCTTTTTGGCCAGTGAGGATACTGTTACTTTGAATTCTCCATACCTGGGTGTATCCCTTCTGAGACTCTCAGGCCCTTGATTCTAGTAGGTTTCTGCAAGCTATTTCCATTTTTAATTAGTCCATGGACATGGAATCTTACATAAATATGGCTACGCCAACGATTTAGAACCGAAAGATGGCATCCCTTGCTCTAAGTAAGCTTTCCTCTTATCTTTTTAACATTACCTGTTTGTCACTATGATTCAGTCCATTGTTTGGGGGATTATAAGGGTCTTTTCAAATGTGAGAAAATGCTACAGAAAGAATAAACAATATCTAGAGGGTTGTCAAGAACGCACCGTGTGGAGATTGTGTTCGAATCCACCTCAAATGAGTGCAGGGGTCATTAGGTGTCACTTTTAGTGTATAGACCGAGGAAGGGGAAAGTCACATGAGTCCAACAGGTAGAAGTTAGAAAAGGGTGCAACAAGAAGGGACCAAGGGGTCAGGGCCTTGACATATGGAGCAGTGATGTCCTGTCCTGTGGGCTGTGACATTAGGGTAGGCTTCAGGAAGGAGAAATGCTTCATTTTACCCCAGAGGATGAGACAGGGCAGGCATATGGCAGAGTGAAGATCACAAACATACAGTGGGGTTGGGAAAGGGGATAAGGAACAAGACAAATCACAAATCCCTTATTCCTCTGGACCCTGACCCAACTACAGACAGAGTAAGGTGGACCAATGAGCTGAGGCTGTGGGCTACACAGCCTCACTTGGTAGCCCTTCACGCTTGGCTACTACTGTTATACCCACAAATCTGGACAGCTCAGGTAATTTGTTAAAAACAGCAAAGGAGGGGCTAGGGTGATTTCTCAGAAGTTAAGAGCACTTGCTGCTCTTGCAGGGGACCCAGGTTCAGTCCTAAGCACCCACGTGGTGGCTCACAACCATCTTTAACTCCAGTTTCAAGGGATCCAACACCCTCTTCTGGTCTCCTGGGCACTGTGTGCATGTGCTGCCTAGATCTACCTCCAGGCAAAACACTTGTATACACAAAGTAACAACAGATAAATAGTTGTGAAAAACATAGTTAAAGGCCCATTAATAGGCTCAAACTGGTGGTTGTTCCTACACAAGTCCACTTAGCAAGCTGGTGGTGAATGGACGTGCAGACCTACGCTAAACCCCTCACCGTGCAGCGTTTAAGCGTCCTGAAAGATGTCGATCATCACAGGGCAAGGACATGATTGAATGAGGACTTGGGTTAGGGAGGGGCACGGAGCTAAAAGCACCCTGATACAGGCACTGTGGGACAGATCTTTAAAGTTGTCTTGGGTTAACTTGAAGCGATCGCTTTAGGCGAAAGTCACAGGTTGTTTTCTGTTGAGCAATTAACAAGAAGCCAGTGAGGGAAAGGCTGGTGGACAGTACGCTCCTGTCCCCTCCAGCACACCAGGGAACATCCAGAGCTGATGGCTGTCTTGCTTAATTCACTTCGGAGGATTAATATTCAAAGGTGTGGGTTGGGAGTCCTCCAGGGTATCTGATTTTAGCTTTCTTGGTTGGAATGGTCTAAAGCAGTGGTTCTCAACTTGTGGGTCCTGACCCTTTACGGGTAAAATAACCATTTCACAGGGGTCACCTAAGACTCAGAAAACACAGATGCTTACACTAAAACCCACAACTAGCAAAATTACAATTATGAAGTAGCAATGAAATAGTTTTATGGTTGAGCGGTCAGCATAACACGAGGAACTGTATTAGAGGGTGCAGGGTTAGAAAGGTTGAGAGCCGCTGCTCTAGAGTTACCTGGTTTGATGTTATAATAGGACAGATCAGAAGATAATTTAAACGTATTTTTCCAGTAACCAAAAGATAAAAATAAATAAATCAGCATATGAAAATTTAAAAAAAGTCTCAACCAGTGCTAATAGATGTACATTAAACTGGCCATGTTGTAATTAAACTAACAGTAAAATGAAATATATTAAAATTTCATTTATTAAAATTTAAGCACTGGCTTTTTTAATATTTGTTATTTATGCACATGGAGGTTGGAGGGCAAACAATTCTCAGGAGAAGAAATTCAAATGGCCAACAAATAAAAGCACTTGGAATTTTTTGATACTAGATACTAAAGTTCTCATTTACATGGTGACGGGGAACCAGTAAATTACCTCAGCTTGCAAAGATGTTTGCTGCATAAGCCTGGCCACTTGCATCCAACATCCTGAACCCACATATAGGTAGGAGAGAAAAACTTCACAAAGTTGTCCTCTGACCGCCATATGGACAGGCACATGAATGGATCCACTCCCCCAAACCCTCGGCACACAAAGAAATAAAAGCAGATAACTAAATAGTGTTGGATGTGTTTACCTAGCTTGATTTAGTGATCTCATAGCATATACACACATCATTACATCCCATTACAAACAGCATACATATCTAAAAAGGTTGCCATTTATGAAAACATTTTAATAAAGCAATGAAGATCAATATCATCAGGATGAAATGAATAGATTAGGTAAGAGAGAGCATTAAAACCATAGCTGAGAAAGAGAGCGCAAAATGATAGAAATACCTGAAACAGTACCAAATAGAATACTTAGAGATATAATGTATCACTGTGTAAAAAGAAAGGCAACTTAGTTAATGGAAAGAAGTATTCTCGGTAGAGAAATAACAGGAATCTAGAGCAGCAGAATATCTTTAAATGTTTCTCAAATATCTATTCCGCTGGCTTAGGACAGTCTGTGGGAAATGTTTGAGAGTTAGAATAAACATGGCCTATATGACAGCTAGCATTGGGAGCTCGGCCACACACAACCCCACTAAAAGAAAAATTAAGAACTGAAACTGTTGAAGGAATAGAGTTAAAAGAAGATTCCTATGTCCGGGGTAGGGAAGGTAAAAGGTTTAAAAAAATTATCAGTGCTGGGTGAGTGGGGATGTCTCTGTGATATAGTGCTTACCCAGTATGTACTATAGCTTCCTAGGTTTGATTACCAACACCAGAAAGAAATAGAACAATTAAAACATTGCCAGATGTGGCGGTGTACACCTTTAATCCCAACACTTGGGAGGCAGGGGCAGGAGGGTCTCTAAGTTTGAGGCCAGCCTGGTTTACAGAGAGCGTTCTGAACAACCAGGGCTACACAGAGAAACCCTGTCTTGAGAAACAACAACAACAACAACAACAACACACACACACACAACCCAACAAAACAACAACAAAAAAACCCAAACCAAAACAAACCCCTAAAACCAATCCCCCCCAAAAAAATTTTAAAAATGCCAGACATATAAAACTAATAAACTAATAAAAATCTTGGGAGACTCTTTTTGATTGTGGGAAATTTTTATAATGCTTAAAACTGGCAAGGAAAAATCAGGCCACTTAGAGAAGGCAAAAAAAAATGTCTGAATAGGAAAGTATGGGAAATATCTCCATGGTTAATAGAGGTAAAAGGAGGAACTTCACCTCATTAATATTAAAAATTCAAATTTCATCCATAATCATGTACTTTTAAACTTTTTATTGAGACAAGGTTCCTCTACGTAGCCCTGCCTGGCTTAGAACTTGTTATGTAGACTAGGCTTGCCTTGAACTTACAGATATCTGCCTGGCTGTGCTTTCCAATGGCTGGGATTAAAGTGTGCACCACCACTCTGGGCTATGTCTATGCTCTTACGTGCATGCTAAACATGAAAAGGTCCTGACAGATGCCACAGAAATGGAGCGACAGAACCTCCCACTATCAACAGCAGCTAGCAAACTCATGTAAATGCTTTGGGAAATAGTTTGGCATCCAGAAGCTGAAGATATAGAAACTATGCAACCTACCAGTCTGGACTCGGCTTGTATAACATGCTAGAACCCTACACTGTGTCCTCCAACAAACACACACAAACTTGCTCACAGAATTTTGTATGTGGAGAAATGTAAGCAACCCAGGACTGGGAGTTGGCTCCATGGTGAAGCATCCACACAGCAGAGTTGGCTCCTCACCACTCGTGTAAATGCTGGATCCGGCTTGTGATCCCAGGTTTGGGAGGCAGAGATGATGGATCGGTAGAGCGTGATGGATAGCTCTGGGATCGATTGAGAGACCCTGTTCTACATGTAAGGTGGGGGGTGGTTGAAGACCAGTGTGAGCCTCAGGCCTCCACAGGCACATATACTCTCACACATGTTCACTCACACATGCAAAGATGCATACACACTTGCATGCCAGCACACACATGCACATGCAAAATGAATTGTAAGCAATCTAGATGGCAGAATAGAGATATTGTGGTTATCTATCCAATAGATGGCACAGGAATAAAAATCACATGAGAGAGAGAGAGAGAGAGAGAGAGAGAGAGAGAGAGAGAGAGAGAGGGAGGGAGGGAGAGAAAGAGAGAGAGAGAGAGAAATATTCTGTTTACACAGAACAGAAGAAAATAATAAAAAGATATGTTTGGCCAAACATGGTGGTATGCATCTTTAATCCCAACACTTGGGAGTCAAAGGCAGGCAGATGTCTGTGAGTTCAAGACCAGTATTGTCTACATAGTGGGTTTTAGGACAGTCAGAGCTAAGTAGTGAAACCCTGTCTGTCAAAGCCCCAATATATAAGGAAATACATTTTTGAAAATATGAAGAAAGGAACGAGGCTGTTACTAATAGACAAGCCTTTGAGAGGAATGAGGAGAGGAGATTTGGAAGGAGACAAAGAGCTTGGGGGGCAGAACGTACCCTCTTCTGACCTCAGTGATAGCTTAGGGAGTGGGCACTCATACGTTTGTCAGGTAGAACATTAATCTTTAATGACTATATCAGCATTATTTTTTACACATGTTCTCATAAAAGACTTTCTGCCCTTTCTCTCCTCTCAGAAACAGAACTAGCCAACCCTAAAGCCATTAGATAAGGCAGACCAAGGTAGGTATGTGCTCTGAGGAGAGGAGTTCAAGGGGCCCAGTGTAGGCGTCAGAGCTGGAACAGGTTGTAGGGCATCTGCGTAGGAGGGCTGTTGGCACCCAGAGCAGAACCAGTTAGATGCAGAGGATGACCCCAGTCCAGGAGCAGGAGGCAGTACGGAGGGAAAGTTGCCCCAAGGAGGCTGAGAAAAGCTCCCACAGGAGGTGGAGGGCAGGGGGAGCAGCCTGGCACAGGAGGAGCACCTGAGTCATGTGAGGAGAGTGTCCATGAAGGAATGCAGCCTAGTGAAGAAGCTGGGCTCCTCTCCACATCAGAAGAGGCCTGCTGTAGAATGTGGTAGCTGGAAGAGGCTATCCATCGAAGTGTATGTGGGAGAACAAGACCCAGTTAATACTATACAATCTTGGTGTGGTCCAAAGTATGCCCAGGCAGATGTGCAGCATCAGAGCCCAAGGAGACCGAGAACATACAGCTGTCATGAGGAATACTAGCCAATCACAATGTCAAGGGCTTTCCCAGAGCAGGGTATCATGAGCTAAGCAGATGAGACAGGGCACCGATTTCCAGGGATGATCTGATCTATGAGTGTGTGAGGTATATGCCCATGTGTGCACATGTGTGTATGAGGTATATGCCCATATGTGCACATGTGTGTGTGAGGTATATGCCCATGTGTGCACATGTGTGTGTGAGGTATATGCCCATGTGTGCACATGTGTGTGTGAGGTATATGCCCATGTGTGCACATGTGTGTGTGAGGTATATGACCATGTGTGCACATGTGTGTGTGAGGTATATGACCATGTGTGCACATGTGTGTATGCATCTATGTGCATGCACAGAGGCTAAGGGATGTTGTCACGTGTCCTCTATTGCTCTCTGCCTTATTCTCTTGAGATAGCATCTCTCACCACACCTGCGGATCTTTCAGCTAGGCTGGCAGCCAGCAAGCTCCAGCAATCCTCCTGTCTCTACTCGGCTTCGGCACTCAGGTAACAGGTGTGCCGCAGCAAGCTGGGCTACAGTTAGCTTTTCACATGGGTGCTGGGGATCCAAACTCAGGTCCTCAAACTTGCTTAGCAAGTGTTCTGACCCACTCAGCCATCTCTGTAGCTCCATCTTCTGCCTTTCACCTTCCCTTTATGCATATGAGCACACTGTCACTGTCTTCAGACACACCAGAAGAGAGCATCGGATCCCATTACAGACGGTTGTGAGCCACCATGTGGTTGCTGGGAATTGAACTCAGGACCTCTGGAAGAGCAGCCAGTGCTCTTATCTGCTGAGCCATCTCTCCAGCCCCTGTTTCAATATCTTTAATCCAGTAGCTAAGAAGTTTCATTTTGTGGAGCTGCCACGTTGTTTTTCACGTTTCTTGTTTTGTGTAGCACTCTGGACATGTTAGTTTCTCTTTCTCCTCCTGTGTTGTTTGGGAGTCTCCTTGTTGAGCAGCACACTCTTGATGCCCTGATCCCCACACCTCTCAGGGAGAAGAAACAAATCTAAGTTACAACAGCAACAGCATTGAACTGTTAAGGGCCTGGAAACATACTTCAGTTATCACCCACTAATACAGCACCAGGAATTAGGGAACAATATAACTAGCATGAAACATGCTATGAAATTAAGAAACTGACTAATAACTAATTTTTTTGCTTGTTTTTTTTTTTTTACTTTTTATTGGTTCTTTGTGAATTTCATATCACGCACCCCAATCCCACATATCCCCTCCCTCCTCTCATACCCACCTTCCACCTTTGCAACCTCCCCACCAACAGAGAAAGAGCAATCAATCTTGTGGAAGCTGTAGTGTATTCCTTTTGCTCACACTTCTTTGCTTGCAAATGTTCACTACAAATGAGTTGTTGGTCTGGTACCAGGTCTCCAGCTTCTGGCTCCTCACTGGGACTCCTCTCAGATATCCTGTTGTTGCCCTGTGTCATGAAGATCCTGCAGCGTTGGATGTGTAGGACTGGCCCCTTCATGCACTCCAGTTCATTGATGGTGTAGATGTAGGGTGGGCCAACTCAAAGTCCTGGCTCTGGGCTTGAGACATACTTGACCTGGTAGCTCACCAGCTAACTTCCTGCTCCTGTTCTCACACCCTGGGACAGGCTCACCCATAACCCTCACATCCAGGGCCAGCAACTCTTTGCAGCCTAGGTGAGGGACAGGGCCTGATTTCCTGAGTAACACAGTAGGTAAGAGACAGGACCTGGTCTCTCACTCTGATGACCTCAGGGGCAGCTCTCCTGCCTGCTGTAGATGGTGAGAGGCAAGAGGGGAGACATCTTCCTCCTGAGTGCTGCAGCTGGCAAGGGGCAGGGCCAACTTTACTGCTCTCATGAACCCAAGGCTTGGTCCCTCACCTGCCATAGGTAGCAAGGGGTGAGGAGAAGAGAAAGGTATCTCTCCCTCACTCATGTCATCCCATGGGAGACAAGTGGCAGGGCCAACTCTCCCACGTTCATCCCCTCAGGCTGGCTTACCCACAACTTCCACAACCGGGGCCAGCTCTACTGTGCCAGATGATATTAGGGCCCAGTCTCCTAAGTACTACAGCTGGTGAGGGGTGAGGTTAGCTCTCCTGCTGTCATGCCCTGGGGCCAGGTCTCCTATGATACCCAGGTAAGGGGTAGGGCCAGTGCTTCACAGCCCTCAGATATCAACATGTCCCTGGACAGCAGACCAGATCAGAGACGTCTGTCTGACCTTTGGTGGTAACAGTCTCTGCTACTGCAGAGCCATGGACCCAGACAAGGCCCCAGGTGGCAGCTCAGGCTAGGACCTCACCATGGCCCCAGGTGGCAGCACAGGCCAGAACCTCACTATGGCCCCAGGTGGCAGCACAGACCAGGACCATTCACAGGCCAGTTGCATGTGGCATCACCGGCTACTCACATCAGGCAGTTCCTCACCACCCTCCACTCTCCAGTTCTGCCTCTCTTCATTGTGCCCATGTCCTTCTGTTTCTCTTTCCCTTCTCTTTCTCTACAATTGACTTGCTCCTCTTAGTGGTGCCCGGGGTCTCTGAGTGTCTGGGGTCATCTCAGGAGTGGTCTCAGGAGTGCTGTGGCATTATGGCACCAGTCAGGGATCATCTCTGACATGGCGTGCACCCTCAGGCCTGTGTGGGATTCCACTGCTGGTCATCTCAGGCTAGCTCCCGTTCTGGACCCATGGTACTAGACTGGTAGTCGTCTTGGGCTGGCTCCTTGCCTAGGCCACTGAATGGTCCTGAGATGCCAAATCTTTTAAATTCAGACTCCATTTTAGAGAACCTGACCTACATTTGAACTCAGGTAAACTAACAGACTGGTATCTAGCATTGGTCTCCGTGTTGTCCCCCAACAAAACCTGAGCCTAGCTCCAGTCTCTAGGCTAATTCTCAACAAGACCAGCATTTCCAGGATACACCCTCAACAAGACCAGTGTCAACAGGTTATTCCCCAACAAACCTGCACTCCCAGGTTACAAGCCCATCCCCCTGCCTAAAGACCACCAATGCAGAGGGGAACAGAAGTTAAGTTTATAATATGACTTCCAGCACCAGCCAATTACATTAAAGGCCACAGTAGCTTTCCAATTAGATGCTTGCACATGTAGTCCCTGCTTGCTGCTTACTATAAAGCCTTGCTCCATAGACATTTTGGGCTCCCCCCCCCCACACCAAAACCATCCTGTGTGACAGTGGTATGTTGGGGTGGCGAGCTAGCTCAAATAGAATAAAGACCCTGCTGTGAGTTGCATCAGATTGGCTCCTGTCTGTTTTTTGGGGATCATTAACATTTTCCTGGCACAACAGTCCCATATGGGGTTCTTCTGTCTCAGGCTTACTCCTGCCCCAGGCTGAGGTCCCTGATGAGGTTCTTCTAGTCTCAAACTTTCTCCATGTGGCCCTAGGCAGGGTTATGCCCTGGGAGTCTGTCCGGATTGGTGGTCACCCAGGTTTTTTTTCCCCCAGGGAATGTTAGGCTACCAATCATTCAGATGTTCGTAGGTCAGAATGCTGAGCACAGACATGGCCTCTCTCCTCTCTGCCATCTACTGACACACCTGTGACACAGCAGCCACACCTGCAATGCCTCTAGAGGCAGTTAGTTTGGGTTTTTAAAGACGAGGTCTCACTATATAGCCTTAGCAGAATCCTGAAAAATCACTGTTGCATATGCTGGTTTTGAACTTGGAGCGATCTTCCACCCCCTGTCTTCCAGATACAGTTGTTATAGGTGTGTACCATCATGGCCTACTAATAACTGAATTTAAATGCTCTTAGTTCCTTCAATCAAACGACACTCACTAGCAGACTGGCTTTAAAAAATAGCAAATCTTGTTGCCTGCAAGAAATGCAACCGACTGGCAAAAATAAACACAGCCTTATGGCGAGAGAATGGAAGGTGCCCAGGCAACTGAAACTGGGGAGCAGACAGGTGCAGCTGCGCTAATCCTTGGCAAAGTAGACTTTGGTCCAAACTTAGAAGAAACAAAGAAGGTCGCTTCGTATTGATTAAGGAAACAATTCATCAAGGGCACAGTATAACCTTAGACATGTATGGATCAAACACTGGTACCTGCAGTTTCTTTAGACAAACAGTAGTAGAAGTAAACACAAAGACTGACCTCAATACATCAACACTGGGTGACCAATGACCCATTCTCACCGGCTGACAGGTGTAACTTTAACTGTTTTCAAACCTTATTGTGAATGATAGTTCTTAAACTCTTTAACCCCCCTTTTAGCCCACCACCCACCAGAGGCAGTGGAAAAGAAAGGATACGGGGGAAATAGACCTGTTTGGAAAGGTTCTTTGGAGCAACTCCCATCTGTGTTGTCTGCAAATTGACAGTTCAGTTCACGGGGTAGCGGCAGCAGCTCAGTCCCCTTGCAAACACTTCATGAATACACCAGCAGTTAGGATAGAGTTGGGATAGCCAACACACATCAGCAGCGGTGGCACTACCTAGCAGAGACAGCCAGGCCTTGGCTCAAGTCAGTAGGAGGGACCCGGAGGAACATCAGAAGTTCTCAGCTGTGGTTCTCTCTGAGAGACCCACAAGTGTTGCACAGCTAGCTCTATAAGCAAGCCTAGCTCAGCCTCCATCACTAGCTGTCGAGTCCTATTTATACCCTCCAGACATCACGTGTGCCCTCCATGTGTCCCGCCTCAGCACGTGCATCTGTCTCAGCTGACATCACTCTGCCAATCAGCCTGAGTCTGCAGAAGTGGCAAGAAACTGCAGCACAACACCAGAAGTGTTTTGGTGTTTCTCTTCATGGAGTCCCGACAAATGCAGCTCAACTACACAATGTATGACAGACCAATACACATGTGTTGTTAGCAAAGAATCCTTCATCATGAGTCCTTTCAGATGCTTGCTTTAGCAGAACACCCTCTCTCCTGTGTCTGCTTCAGTGAAACATTCCTTCACGAGTCGGCCTTAGCCTTTCACACCTGTGTCCACTTGAACGAAAATGTTCTTTCATGTGTTTGTCTCAGCAAAACACCATCCAACCAACTTTCCAAAGAACCTTCAAGTTTCTACTTCAGACAGGTGAAGTTGCAAAGTAACACCAGAGTTAAAGGCATTATAGAACAGATGGACTTAACCGACATTCCAGAATAGTCCATCTCAACTCTTCAGAATACATATTATCTCCAGTACATAGAACTTTCTTTAAAATAGACACAAAGCAGTTATATATATATATATATATA